AAGTATGGCCTTGGGCAATACTCTCAGCTATCAATCAATTTGCAGTCAGATTCTGCCAGCAGAGTTCATTGTCAGTGTTATCTGCCTGTTAGTTATCCAGTCCAGATGTCACGCCTTGGATAAATTAGTTGGACATTGATTGAAAGGAGCATTTACCTCTTGCATCACGGGTGATAGTGTCCTTCCAGTCTTTTTTATATATGGAAGTCGACTGTAGATTATCACAATACTTTTCAGGAATTGTTTTACAATGTTAGTGGGAGATTCTTTGCTGTTTCAAAGTGTAGCTTCAAGAATGTGTAGAGTTAAGAGTTGAGGGATACTGGCTGTGAAGATTTGATCATCTGAGAGCATTGACGTACACTAAAGGATATAAATGTGTTCTTCCCCCCCCCCAGAAAACGGTTGCTTATGCTTAAAGACATAATCATCAACACCAGATAAGCATTTTTTTTAAAAAATCAACGCCAGTTCTTTTTATATAAAAAAAGAAAATTGAAATCGTCAAAGCCAGCAGCCGCTGAGCTAATGTTTGCAGGTTGCTAAGCGATGAGATGTGTAGGCAATGACATTGAGGTTGCTTGTTCCTTTTGTTGAGAGTGTCATTTGAAACTCATCTCTCGACAGGTTGAGACTGTCGCCTCCCATCACTAAAACGATTCTTGACACAGCTATCTGTAAAGCTATAGAAACTGCTTCATATGTAAAGCTGACAAAAGACAATGAGGGTTTTGTAGTAAGAATGACCTTTTGGGAAATGTGGAACTTCCATTGCAGAACGGGTAAGCCTCCAGCAACAATGACTGGTGTGCTGTATCCCGCTCGAGGAAAACAGACTTGTCCTTTCCTGAACGTTTCTGCAATACCCAATGCAGTGATTTAGCATCGTCAGTTTTTGAATTCTGAAGAAAATTTGACACTCTCGTGCCAATGAAAATATTTGTGTGTTCAAAAGTTTTTTTTTTTAAAAAAAGTCGCCAGTGACTTTCTTTTCCTGTTTACCTTCCCAACACTCCACCCACACATTGGCAGCTATTGAGACGTTTTATCTCTAGCCTTGCCTAAAAAGGCTATTTGTATGTTTGTGAATAGTTCTGAACAGAACACTGTGCTGTAGATAGAAGTTTAAAAAAGTTCATCTCCATCCTCTGCCAAGTTCAACTCCTTCCAGTAGGACTTTGTTCTCAAAGGAGATGAAGAACTGTTGTCTTGTACATTCTGGAGCAACTCCTGTTGTTCTGGCTGTTGCTATATTTCAGCACATTGTGTGTCTGCAGTGTATCATGGTTTGTGGGAAATATTGAAGGATGGTGGTCTCTAAATTACTTTCAGCCCCAAAACTTTTGAATTACTGCGTAAAGAATGATCAGTAATGTGTATCACCCAAGTCTGGCTTTTTGAACACATTTTATCTTTATGCTCACTGGGTCACTCCTTCCCCTTCCCTTTCCCCTCAAAAGTTCAGACAGAGTGTCAGATGTAGTTGTGATACAAAATGAGTAACACAAGAAAAGCAGGTTATTCACTCAGCCTAATAATGATAATAATCATTGCACTTGCTGTAATCATAAATAATAACCTGATATTATGAAATTAAAGATGTTAAAGAGAAAAATTGGTCCAAAATGCAGAATATGTCATCAAGCACCAGAAATGGGGGACCACATATTGTTGTCATATCCAGCCCTAGCACAGTCAGAGTATCTGATTAGACATCATAACATAGCTCGATATATTTGGACAATTTGTAAACACTTTGTATTGATGTAAAGACTCACTGGTATGAACATCAACCAGCAAAAATGACATTGAGAAACATTACAATAATCTGGGATTCACAAGTTCATACAGAGAGGACAATCAGCTGTAACAGACCAGATATTATCAAACCTCTCTTGTGAAGCTGACTACTGTGTAAGGGAAATTTGACCAACACTCCATTTGTGCAGCTGCACTCCAGCTGTGGGCAGGGCAGGCTTTAGTGGACTAGTAATTCTGCCCAGAGAATAGCATATCAACTCTTCCAAACAGTAATTATAATAATAATCCTTGCATTTGAAATTAATTAATACTTAGCTTATTTTTTTTAAACCGAGATGCTATTAATTAATATCGTCATTTTTATTCGTGAACGTTTGACTTTCCAATTAGGCGTCTGTTTTGGCTACCGAGTACCTAGCGAGTTCATCACAATTGGACCGTCACCAAACAAACCCCAAGTTACATTTTTATGAAATTGGGTAAAATTGGTCATTGTTCGCTATTTGCAACTACTACATTTTCAGAATTACTTTTCTGTTTGTTTACTTTGCCTCTTGCTGTTTCGTCTTGTGATCTGATCATTCTATTGATTGTGTAACGTACCTCATAATCAGTTCCAGCTCACTAAGTTGAATCAGCTGCCATCACAGACTTGAATTCACGTTTACATGTTTCCTCAAAGTATATTTTTACTATATGTAGCATTTAGCTACCCGAGAGGAGATTCTAACATTTTTGGGGAATTAGCTGACACAATGTATTGGCACGCTATCTTTTCACATCTGGGACTTGGGTTTGAATTGAACCCAAATGAATGAAGGAATGAAAGTCTCCTTTCTCTGATGGCTATGATTGAAATGAGCTTGGGGTAGTTTAAAGCCAATCCATCGTATATCACACTGAGCAACACGATTCAGGACTGTATCGGTAATTGCCCATGAGAGGCACCATAACAATGGATAGTGTGCAACACTTCATACTGGTTTGGTGGGGGGTGTTCTATGTTTGGATCTATGCATATTATTGGGGCCCAGTGGAGAGAGGGAGAGCTTATTGCTTCCCTTATGAGTACTAATGCTACTTTTTTATACTGATTGTTTTTGGCAGCAAAAGACGGCATCTTTGCAGGGTTTGCGGACAAAAGTGCAATATAAAGGGGGTCTCAAACAAAATGAACCGTGCTGTTTCTGAAGCCACTTCGAGGCGGAAGTAATGTAACTCACCCATGCGGTATAAACAGGCTAGTGTGAGTTGTACAGAGCTTGCTATTCTGTTCAATGAACTGGGAACTTTGAATGGAACAAGTTTAATTTTATTAAAGAGCAAATATCATAACACGTATAATATAATTTTAATAGCATTAAAACTAAAGCTGATTTTGGTTGTATTTCAGAAAACAGCAAAATTGAGTGTTTGCATTTTTCCGGCCTGATTGAAAACGATGTAGAACAAGCAGTATGAAACCCAGATTCCTGCTCCAACTCATTATATTGCCAGGAGCAAAGAGACTTTGCTTCTCTTGCCCCCCTCCCACCCCAATTTCCCCCCTCCCACAAGCTGTAGAAATGAAGAATCATTGATGAGAATCCAACTCCTTGTTTCAAATTTGGCACTGTGGCTTTAATTGACAAAGCTGCATTAGGCTGACCACACATTCTGGGTAAGCTGGCAACCTCCGCATTTGGAACATTACCACCAAGTGTGCTGTGCATGTGCCATTGCAGATGTGCTGCCAGCACAGTGCTGAGTGGAACAGCAATGACCAGTTTATTCTCAAATTTCAGCGTCGCCACATCTACAACCACAGCACTGCAAACCAATAAACTTCTTGTGTAACTCGCTTTCTCCTCTACATCTGACCCACAGCCAGGCAAAATGTTGGGCAAGTTTCCTTATTCCACATGCCTCTGTTTACCTAGCAGTAAGTAGGCACCCAGTTGTTAATTGATTGGCGGATCGCTTTCTGAAGATAATAATCCTTAAAAAAAAAACAATAATAATTTGGTCACTCAATTCTCGACTGTTTGTGGGACACTGCTGTGTGCAATTGGCTGCCGTGTTTTGCCCACAAATATATAGTAGATTCACTTTACAGTATATCCTGTGATGTGCTTTGAGATGTCTAGAAGACGTGAAATGCACTATATCAAATGAAAGGATTGTTATTATTTTAAGAGGTTTGGACTGGAGTGGAGGATTGAAGTACTATGATAGACTGTATTGATTATTTTTATATTAAACCCTCTAAAGTATGTATACTGGATTTATCCTTTAACTCGTGCAACTTACATCTGCACCCCACCATGCTTTTACTGTGTCTGTATATTTACCAAAATATTTTGCTGGGAGTAGTTTACCACTTATGTATCATTACCTTTATTATTTAAAAATATGACTTAATAATAATAATCTTTACATTTAATATTGTGCCTTATCACATCGTTGAGACGTTTCAAAACGCTTCACAGAATATACTGTAAAGTGGATTGACTTAGTTGATGAAGCAAAACAATATTAAAGTAGAAAGACCACTCTCGGTCTTGAAGTTCCCGTTTGTTTTCTTCAACAAAATCTAACAGAGCTGGTTTGGTCAGATTCAAACTCCTCTTATTCAAGTTCCTGCTGTTAAATTGCTACTTAAACTTAAACTGTCTTCGTTGCAGTGGTTCAAGAAGGTGTGCAAACTGACATTGCCTATTTTTGAGTAGCAAATAGCATAAAGTGTATATATGCGTGGAGTCCTGTAGCTCAGTGGTTAGAGCACTCGCTTTGCAAGCGAGAGACCTGAGTTCAATTCCAGGCAGGGCGAAACCTTGGGCAAGTTTCCTTACTCCACACACCTAATAATAATCCCTCCAAAACCAAAAACAATAATTAAATTGGTCATTTTCAATCTATGACTGTTTGTGGGACATTGCTGTGCGCAATTGGCTGCCGCGTTCGCCCACAAATATACAGTCAACTCACTTTACAGTATATTCTGTGAAGCGCTTTGGGACGTCCTCCCGACGTGAAAAGCGCTATATCAAATGCAAGGATTATTATTATTATTATTATTATTATATGTGCTTCATTTTCAATTATTTCCCACATTGTATGCCTATGTTTTCACTTCTCTTAACAGAAGAAATCTTCTGGGTCTTGTCATGATTGACCATTCTCTGAACCTCTTGTAATCTGCTCTGCAACACCTTGTTGTACTTAATATCTGTAATACTGGATGTTTCTTCCTTTTGCAGAGATAGAATTCATTGAAGATGTCATACCAGAACCTGAATCGTGCCCTGAGATCTCTGGTTGTAACTTGTCAAACGGTCATTGCGTCTGCGAAAATGTACACTCTTGCGTCAGCTTGTTCGCTTATCCTGATCTGGATGCTTGTACTTCTGCCTCAGGATATGTCCCAGGTACAGTAAATCAATAATTCTGTTTGAACAACTTTTGAGTCAAAGGATTTTTGAGTGCGTATGATAGTGCTTGTTTCTGTTTAAAAACGTTTTGTACGTGGATGCATTGGAAAATCAGCATTTACAGAACACATGGGTAAAACGTGTCGTTTGCATTTTAAATGTGCATAATAAATTACTATACTCTGGAAAAGCTCGAGCTTCACTGGGTTGGCTGGTGATGACCTCTAAATTGATGATGTGACTATGAACTTCAGTTGTACCAGGGTATTTCTTGTTCCGTATAAAGTCTACACAGGAAATTAATCTTGCGCCAATACACAATTTAGTAAAACATTCAGTCCTGTCATGTAACAAGATATCATGAGTTTTGCAGTACAGCTCCCTCTCTGTGTCACGTGATATGAAGCACATGGCAAACTTCAGTGGTTGCAGAGGCAGGAGCTAGTTGTGAAAACAGAAAGTATCTGCAATACAGGCTGTGAAAAAAGAAAGTTAACGGGAAGAAAATCAGGAGACTGTATATATCAGAAAATGGGTGTATGTGAGTTACTTTATATAGTGGCCACCATGTAACTGTAGACGGAAAGGCAACACTGAAATACATTTTAGTTCATACCTCACAAACGATAGGAGATACCCAAAAACAAATATGCCCATGTCACTCCCAAATGCAAGAGCTTTCCAATGAGGTATAAATCATGTCTCCATGTCAATCGTTTATTGAGATCCTTCTTGAAGCACAGACAGACATTGTTGTTTTATTAGTATATATAATATATATATTAAAAAGCATTGTCTGCTCACTGATCTGAATATTTGCTGTTGATTTAATTCATCTTAAACGGTTTACTTCAGCAACTTCTTAGTCTCTTTTCTTTCAATTCTGTCAACCCAAAGAAATGTTAGTTAATGTTTTGAACCATCAGAGAGAATTCCTTTTGTAAATGTAGAATAAATTAATTTAGCAATTTCTCAGCCAATGTACCAAAAACTCATTTAAAGTCAAGTTCCCATTTAAAGCTGCGTCCACACACCAGGGAGCTCTCTTGAAAGCTTCCATTCCTTAATCGGACAAGAACAGGCTCGTCTAGAGTTCAGTGTCTGGTGTTGGTCACAAAGAAGAGCTTTTAGTGCACCAGATGGTGCTTCTCTGGCAGTATAAATCTACTAATGAAGTTTAACAAAATAATCAGATTTTACAGTGGCGGATGTGAGCAGCAAAAAAATCATACTTTTTTATGGAATATATAATATCCTGATTAAAATACATTGCCATGACAAAAAGATACAAAACAACTAACAACAGATCAAGCTTTTTTTTAGTACTAACAATGAACAATTTGTTTTTAAAGATTTGATTCTTGCAATGGGAAGTTGGAAAGGATTGTGAATTACATAATGAATATCCAGTGGGGGAAATAGATGATGGAAACAATGATTTGTTTTGTTTTTGTCAATTCTCTCCGCCAATCATTTAATTAGTCATCCATCCATTTATCATGTAATTTGTGAAGTTTCTTATAATCGGAACAATTCTAGGAATTTGTTGTTGTGCATATGTTCTCTGTGAAGTATTATATTCGGTAAAGGTAGCATTTACAATTGGCCAAACAATTACATAGAAGAGACAAATTGTGAACACCTATTTTAAAAACACTGACTGAAGAAACGTGCACATTTTAATGGCATTTTCTCTACTTGTTTCTGTTCCTGCAATGAATCACTTTTACATTTATAATAATAATCCTTGAATTGATATAGCGCTTTTCACATCTTCCCGACGTCTCAAAGCGCTTCACAGAATATACTGTAAAGTGAACTGACTGCATTTTTGTGGGTGAAACGTAACTTTACAAATGTAATTTAAACAGTAAATAGCTTATTTTCTCTCTCCCCGAGCTGGACTGCTGAGAAGGAAACGTGTATTGGAAGATGATTGTCTCTACAGATTGACCCTAACCGTTCAGTGCCTTGAGATGTCCTCCCGATGTGAAAAGCACTTTACAAATGTAATTTGGTATTGTACAATTCCCAGATTGCCATTGTCTGAAGGATGCTTAACCACCGTTTACTGCCGTCCCACGTTTGGTGGTTTGGGCTGACCTTGAAAAAGTTGATTTAAGAGCTTTTAGAACTATAATATAAGTTTTGCTACTTGAGAATCTCAAGTTCATGTGCGTCTGTGAAGAGATGGTTTGACATGCAGTGACTGGTTGAACAGGAATTATCTTGTTCAGTTAACAGTACTCTGATTGACATCAAATCCAATCAGTGAAGTGATAAAAGTCCAAGGGCTTATCAGGCTATGTATATGTTTCAAGTAAAAAAAAATATAGACTTGCTTTGTCTCATTATGCCTGGGTTCTGTAAGTTGGCTGTCAAAAATGGTTCATGTCTGAAACACAGATGCATGAGGATGAGCCTGGAGCAAACCAAAGTGGCAGAGTTAAGCCAAGGTGAAACAGCTGAGATGATGTACTCTTTCAATGATATCCCTTCAGCCAGTTTGTAAATAGGTTCCAGAGATCAGGTCACAGCCAGTAACAGAGTCTTTAACTTGGATGATGTTGGTAATGAGACTGCAGCAGTTTGCTTTCTGTTCATTAGAAAAAATTGTTTTAATCATGTGTTGGTGATCTTGGACAGAGGTTTTTAGCAGCCATTGAAATAGCATAAGCTGCAGTTTCCAATGAAGCTGTCTGCAATGATCAATTTGCATTTTGGGACTTGGTCTTTTTATTTAGCTTTGCTAACTGTTTCAGGGAAGGTTACTTCAACAAAACATGTCTTTGACATACTCTGTACTATCCAATATTGGATATGTTACAGTTCACTTTCCTTTGCAATGACGTTGCAGTGTAAAATAACTTGAACTCTAGAATGAAAACCTTCCTAATGATTGTCATGTGTTATTACGTTAAATATGCCTCTTTAACTTGGTGATCATGAGAGTTTGAACTTTATCTGCTAATAAGTTTTGGTTGAGAGAAACCTTTGTGTTTTTTAATGTACTGTATTAAGTTATATAGTTATATATTATATAGTTATATATAAAGTTATAAGTTATATAGTGTATTAAGTTATGTATGTATGAACCTTTTACTTTTATTCTTATTTAGGATGAGTTGAAAAGGTAAAGTATGGAGGTAGGCAACTATTTTAAGAATGGGCAACAATTTGTAAAATGCAGTGTGGTCCAAAAATCAATTGCATTGAGTATAACTAACAAATTGTAACAGTTTTAGGAAACATAGTGTATGTGGTTAGTTAATTGTTACATAGCTGGTTGCATTCACTGAATAGTTTATTTGCATCTTGACAAGAGCAATGAAAGGAATGTTGCCTTATAGTTTCTGTTATTGTTTCTGGTGTTTTATTAACTGATGCACTAAGCACTGTTAGTCCACTTGAATTTGATGCACTAAGTACTGTTTCAGCACAGACCTCTTTGAAGCAGACATTAGTTTTTTTGGCAAGTCATTTCTGTCCACAGTTTGGGAGTAGGTATGCGTGGTATGCTCACTGTGAAATTCCTGTGGACAAGTGGTGCAGAAATTTTGAATTCAGGCATATTTACCAGAGCACAGAGGAACCAATGTCAGCAACGGTTTAGTTATCTACCAAAGGTATTTTTAATTTTAATGTAAATCATTATATTTAGACCACATATTAAATCATCTCTGTGAAATATTGTCTACTTTATGGAAGTGACATCCCAACTCAGCAGACGGTGGAGAAAAAAATTGCTCATTAATTTAGTTTCCATTTCCATTTATAATTGACGTCTATCTCTTGCAATGCTGCAGATGTGTTTACTCATCTGGTGCAGTCATGAAGGTTTCTTTGTTCATGGTTCCCACTTCCAGCTTCGGAGGCTAAAATCATGCCAGAGATTGCTCTACTCGCATCTACCTCTTCATTGAGTGCAATTGATTTCAGCCCACGGGAACACTTATACAAACAATAACAGAAGTCGCTGGGAACAGCATCTGCAGTATTTTGCGTTTTACTTATACAAACAATATTGCTCTCACTTTTCAAGACATAATGGGAGCTGCAAGTTGAAGGCAGTTTAAAAGTTAGAAATAAATAGAAAGTAGTTTTAAAAGGTTATTAATAAAAATAGAATAAATTTAGTTGTGCACAGCATAGGGAAGAAGGCAAAATGGCATGGCAATTGAACAAAATAAGTGAAATGTTTAAAATCATTTTTTAATTTTAGGTTTGAATTTCATTTCCTGGATTAGCCTTAATAATTCAGCGATAAAGCTATGCTTTTTGAGCGGCTTTATGATCGATTTGTTTTCACACCTTCCTATTTATTTTCAAGTTGTATAATGTGACAGTCAGCCCATAAGACTTTTATAGCAAATCATTTGTCATGAGAAGAATTCATTTGATTGCTTACTAAATCTTTGGCTCAAACAAAATGGGACATGAGTTATGAGACTGAATTATATCCCACTCATGAGTTGCATGCAACTTTGCTGCTATGCCATCAGAATACAATTTATATTACACTAATCCTTGTGCATATCATTTATCAAAAATGCATTATTTATTAAATATGAAACCATTGAAATACCCACCTTGTGAATCATGAAAGCTCCTTCAGTTTATCATTGCCACCTGTTAGAAAAGGTTCAAGGGGAAAATATAGTTTGTTCATCTTTCATAATTTCAAATAATTCCATCATAAAGGGAGACATCTGTACATTTAGCAGTGTCCCACAGTTACCCCTCGCTGTCCTGTTTTATATTCTAGACCTGCTGGCTGGAGAGAGTCATTTTGCATTTAGCTCAGTGAATGAGGAATGCTGCCCTCAATCCAATCTACTCATGTATGATGTCACAGCAGGGGGATTCCTGCACAAACTGTCTGCTTCCAGCCAACAATGCTCAAGCATTAAGACAAGGCAACAAGGGACGGCTGAAATATTACACTAAATGTGTGAATATCTTCCATTACACCATTTAAAATTGATGGGTCAATTTTG